AAACTGTGAAAACTAATTTAAATATTTAAGAATACGCAAGAATGTGCAAAATATATTTAATTACTCCTGCAGATATGTCAATAAACATCTTGATTAAAGTCCCATATATGAACCATAAAATGTGAATACATTTTTGGGACACCCCTTATTGTTGGATCTATGTAGAGCACGGGCATAAAGTCTTTATTTGTATCCCGTTACGTCTTGGATATCTATGGTTGTATTATTAAACAGTGTAGAACTCGAAAAGTAAACTCTTTAAAACAAATTAATTACTCTCATATTTTTTTCTGACCAGTCCTATTTTTTATCATACCGGCTAGGAGGATCGGGGCTGTGCTCTTATAATAGTAATAATAATAATAATAATCCTTTACTTGTGTAACCGGCAAGACGTGAATATTTGTGATTATTTTATTTGTACATGTTTTGAGCTTGTTACCTTAACAAATAAAATATCAAGTACTCACTTTTATCCTAGGAAACCCTTGAACTTTGTGACAGTTATATCGATTTATAGAGAACGGGACTATGTTAAATATATAGAAGAGAGATAAGATAAGCTGGAATTTTAACTGAATTCTATGCAAAGCTAATATATTTATGATTATCGTATTATTGCACAGATTGGACATATTAAAGTTATAGAATAGATCATAATGTCACGTCGCAATAATGAAGCTGTGGGAAGTGTTAGCATAGAACCCAGGATGTTTGGAAACATAGAACCCAGGTGCATTTTGAAGGAAAACATTCCTTTATGTTTTCTTGATCAAATCAAAATATCATTTTTTTAAAATTTGTCATTTCCTTGAAATACCTTATTATTTCCAGCAGTGGAAGCTATGCAACTAAACAACAACTTCACATTGCAACCGGCATGTCCAAACAAATTCATAATACAATAAATCAGTTAGTCAGTTAGTTCAAAAAATATGATCTTTCAAAGTGTCTATATACCGAAACCTTTCTTACCATTTTACAAACGTCACTAATTTTTACATCCTAATATACACTCTTAGACAAAAAGAAAAAAAAAAAAACACGACACACCATCCGAATGGGACGAAAATCGGTAGAAGTGATGTACATGTACAGAAAACAAATGATTTCAGTTTCAGAAAAATTGGATGATTTAATTGAATTGATATGAGAGCTTCACAAAGTGAAAAAGTCATTAACGCGTTTGTTCACCTCTGGCCCTTATGCAAGCAGTTATTTGGCTTGGCATCTATTAATAGAGGGTGCTAATGTCCTCCTGAGGGATAGCGTGCAAAATTCTGTCCAACTGGCGCGTTAGATCGTCAACATCCCGAACTGGTTGGATGGCCCTGCCCATAATGCTCCAAACGTGCTCAATAGGAAAGAGATACGGCGATCTTGCTGGCCAAGGTAATGTTCGACAAGCAGTAGAAACACGTGAAGTGTGACGGCGGGCATTATCTTGCTGAAATGTAAGCCCAGGGTGGATTGACATGAAGAGCAGCACAACGGGCCTTAGAACTTCGTCGACGTACCGCTGTGCTGTAAGGTTGCGACGGATGACAACCAAAGGGGTCCTACTATGAAATGAAATGGCACTCCAGACCTTCTGGTTGTCGGCCTGTCTGCCGGAAGACAGTCAGATTGGAAATCACACCGCTGTGCGGGGCATCTGCAGACTCGCCTTCGCTGGTCATCGGGGCTCAGTTCAAAGCGGGACTCATCACTGAAGATTATTCTACTCCATTCAGTGACATTCCAGTCCGAATGAGCCCGACACCACTGCAAACGGGCTTGACGTTGTACAGAAGTCAATGGTAGTCGGCGCAAGGGGCGCCGTGACCTCAGCCCCCTTTCTGTAAGCCGTCTATGAATGGCCTTTGCGGTCACTGAAGCACTAGTTGCACATGCAATCGATGATAATGATGCATCTGGGGTCATCTGGGGTCTGTCAGTGCCGCTATGACGATTGCTCGGTCTTCACCACGTTATGTCGTTTCTTTAGGCATACCGCTTCCTTCTTGATGCTGTGTGCGGTCATGGTTGACCTATTCCTGCCAACATCGTCTAATGATGGCATCGTTTCTGCTCAAATGTTGAGCTATTCGCCGATAAGACGAACCGGCTTTTTTGAACTCAACTACACGACCTCTCTCAAATTCTGACATCTGCGCATATCGTTCGCGCACCTGTATGCGAGACATATTTACTGTCTACCAGAGTACACGGAATGAAATTCGTGAAGAATTTATGACCTGGAATCGTAATTTCTCCTCTTAAATATCCTTGCCATTTGCGCGGATCAGATCAGATGTGCTGTAGCGACAACCGTTCATTCATTGGCAGCCAAAAATTTAAAATTTTGTACAATTTTCCGTCGAAACCTGTATGCATATCAATTTGTGTCCAATTTGCTTTACACCTTCTTGGTGGATCTTCTCGGTGCGTTTTTTTTTTCTTTCCTTTTTTTTTTTTTTTTTTTTCGTTTGTTTGTTTTGTTTTGTTTGTCTAAGAGTATATTTATGAAGCCTTATGCTTAGTTTTTAAGAAAAATGTTCGTGGAAAAGTTTAGTTATCTTTATATTCAGCAACTGAAAATTAGAAGATGATGACTATTTTACTTCGGACACCATTTCGGTTTTGTTACTTTTTTTTTTTTTTAATTTTTTTTTTCAGAAACACTTGGTACGGTAGGATGCAGTTGGAGTTTTACAAATAATAAACTTATTTGGGCTACTACCTACGATTTCCTGTATTAAAGTCATTCTATTTCAAACATTAACGACTATATGTTTGAAAAAAAATGCCTTTTGCAATTTAAATGAAATGAATCTATGTACTAAGTACAAGAGCTACAAATTAGTTAAAACACTTTATTTTGAAAAACTTTATGAATTATAATTATTACAAAATCGTATTAACAAACCTTGTACTTTTTGGAGCTTCGTCAGAACAAATATGGGACCTGTCCGTTAATTTTCATGTAAACTTTTACCCAGAAATTCACTTAGATAAACAAAGGAATCTCTTCTAATACAGAGCTGTCAAACGGAGATAAGCATCATGATATAAATGGCATACTATTACATTCTGCGAAACCATATGAGAAAAACCAGGAAACAAATAAGTAATCTAGAAGCATGAAAATATTTGTTGATGTGCTGTGTTTGGCAATTGCTATAGTAATTTATTTAGTGCATAGAGAAATTGGATCTGTAACACAAGCAAATGATAATCATCAAAATGATTTTCTGTAGTCGAAATCCTAATCTCCTTTTTAAAAAAGAGCAGGATGGGAAGTGGAATATTAAATCTTATAATTAAAACAACTACACTTCCAATTTATTTTACTAAACGTATGTAATTATTTGTAGTTTTACACGTGTAGCAATGTGTTCAATAGAAATATCAAATTAACCAAAATTTTGGGAAGACATCTGGCGGAACGATCTTACCCTCTGGAGAATGCCTGACCACTGAAACAGTTACACTTTGAAGAATGGGAACTCTTATCCAAGAACGGTTAGATAATCTGGTATTGAGTATCGACAGACGATATAAGGAAACCTTGAAATTAGGAAACGTTATTTCCCTTACCAAGAATCTTGGATTCTTGTTCTCCCTCTGTACCAGATAGTTTTTTGTACTAACTCCATTTTCTCTTAATAAAACCTTTTTCTATACGTTTCGTACTCCATGCGTCTTGTTCATTTTTTTTTTCTATTATACGTTCATCATTCCTTAGTGCTACACTAGCGGGTAAACTCGCCTGATAAGAGGCCTGCAGCCAAAGCAAACCTTATAAATTCCATGTACACCTGAAAAGAAAGCGTATAAACACATTTCAAAATGAATGAAATTAGTTCACTCTTTCAAAGAAACAACCAATCCGTAAATATTTTTTTTCCAAACCAGGAAACAAAACTTTTTGTCACTTTAACTCCTTCACATCCAATCCGCCCCACACGGCCCTACATTGAAACAACCAGAACCGCCCCGAAAACGGCCGAAATTGTAAACTTGTTTTCTTCCCTCCCCTTAAAATATGCAGTAACAGGTGCAGTTTTTCCAATTGCATTGTATCCGTTTACTGCAGAAAGCTTGTCCTAAGAGGTTTCTTATCTTTCTGGTTGATCGCGACATTTCGTTGTTGATTCTTTTGTGGTACAGTGTGCTTTTAAGCTTTAAACAGCAATAAAAGATCAGTTTAAAAATTTAAGGATTATGTTTATTTTTAAACAATTTATTCCTTCCTATAAAAATAACGGAAATAAACAAAATCTCAGTTATGATTATAACAAAGCCAGAAAGGCATGTTGGTCTGACCTTCAGAATAGTTTTATAAAGAACGGGTCAAAGGCTAATGGAATCTTTGTTAGAAAGTACAAAGGATGTCACTGGAAATCTTTACACCTATTTCTGCGTTAATGGACTGGGAGGGGAGGAAATTGCTGTGAAACTGGAAAACTATTTCGGGCGTTTCGGTGTTTTAAAGATACAAGTTAGCGAAGGGTCTGGATTTCAAAGAGTTAATATAATACGTATACGTATGGCGTCATGACTTAAATTTAATGTAATATAACCATTTTTTTCTCAATATCAATGAAAGAATTAACGTGAAAATAACACATTATGTGAATCATGGAGGTTAGATGGTGTGAGCTTTCTCTATGTGTGCCGTGCAGTGAAAATGAAGCCATGAAACGTCACGGTATGACGTCACTACTTATCATGGCCAAAGCTTATCATGGCCATAAGCAGATTTCTGGTTAATTTTGTTTATATTCTAATCGGCGTTGTTTGCGTGTTAACTATTTATCATCGAGCGTTTACAAGTCTCTCGTTCTAATTTTAATACTTAACATAAAAGATTTTCTATTTAGTATTTAGAAACACCATAAGAATTGCAAATAACTTTTTCAAATTTATTAAAAATATAGGTACATGAAAATGTGTAAATGTTAACTATAAAACAAATCTATACATGGTAAAACCTGGAAGATTAGTAGAAGTTTCAATGGTATTTTATGCAAATTATGACTAGAAAAACTTTTCTCAGCCTGCGAATGTTGATATTTGCTTTCAAATCTAGTGTAATTTTATTTAACAATATGTTTCGTAGTTGTAAGGCAGCTATAAGCCTGGACGTCACGTTGCTAACATTTCCTTGGTTTCACTTGTGTGACGTCTTGTTTATTCCATCTATTCTAAACGCTTGGTGTCAATTATCGTAACCTGAAACAAAAAAGTTGCCAACAGCAACTATTTATTTAAAATGCTGATATTAAAGAAACATTTTCGACATACAATGATGTCACATGCAATCTGATGCTTTCTACAATGTCAGAATACGACTTTATATAATAATAATATGCTTTATATTTGGCAATGCTATTTTTATTTCAGATTTTGTAAAACTTACAAATTTTTAATTAACAGGCTCTATGATTTGAAAGCGAGCAATAGCAACACTTTTGGAAATAAAGCATTTTAATCTCCAAAACGTGCGAGATTGTTGCCACTCGGAAAAATGAGGACGAAAATTGATGTTTTCAGAGTTTTTAATTAATATCTCGGGTGATTAAAGTCGTACGAAAAATGAGAATGATTGAAATAGCTTTCCACGAATGTTTGGAATCCATGGCTACCTCTCCCAAACTCCTCGCCGCTCTGGAGAAGATGATGCTACAATCAAACAAGCACCTAGACAGACGCGCACAGATTTTAAGAGTATAGATTGATCCTCTGTAATATGAATTTCGTGTCTTCTAGTTCATTATTTTGCGGAATTACTTCCCAAATCAAATCAGAAAAGTCGCTTAATTGTGAACACAGCAGAAAATCAGAAAAATCAGAAAAGTTGCTTAATTTGTAAACAGTGTACGCAGTACCCTTTACAGCGTTAAAATTCAAGCCTAATAATCTGATATTCGATTTTGCTTTATACTCTTCAAACTCGGAAGAATCGTGAAATCGAAACCGTAAATTTTCCCCTTAGTGTAATGAACATAAATCTTAAGAGTACCTGGACTGAGTTTTAACAAATAAGTGAAACCTAATATTTAATTTCTGAACATGTTGCATTGAATGAATTCAGTTACGAATAGTCCAAAATAAATCATATTACTATAACAAGCTTATCTATGAACTAAAGATGGGACTTTAAAATGCTTGAAAAGAACTGAAAATTCCAATCGTCGTGCTTTTCTTGTTGTTTGAGACTTTCGAATTCTAAGATAGGGAACGCTATTAAATAGTTTAATGCAATGATTTAGTTTTATTGATTCCTAACAGAATATTTCTCAGCAAATTACCACGACTAGTAATTTCAGGAGACCAGGACTACCGGTATCACTTTGTAGCAGCCCTGACTAAGATATACTAAATTTTTGAAGAAAGTTATTCCTTTTTAGTATTAATATTTATCAGTTTTTGAAATTATTGGTTTACTTCAAAGAGATACTGAAAGAATTTCAAATAATATTATTTAAATACATTTCTCAGAGTTCCAAAAACATATCAAAATTTTAATTATATACTTCATTTGCTATACTTAATATGATTTTCCTTAATATAAGCGTATTTTAAAATTTGTATTCTTATATGTGTTTCACGTTACACATAGATTTGAAATCTTTCTCAATTAAAGTTATTCTACATTGAATTATTTCCTTTTTACTTCCTTGTACGACGTAAAGAAAGCATTGTAATTGAGAATATAGTATCGTATTTTAACGAAAATATCCATTTTGACTGCTCTCGAATCCATTTGAACGATATTTTTGCATGACATCTGTATGTACGAACAGAATAAGTGACTCTTTTTTACAGCAGAAACGTATTATAAAATGGAAAGGGATTCATAAGATATTTTCTTCGTGACGTCTGTAAGTACATACGCGCATAACTCAAAAACTGAAAATGAGTATCCTCAGAACGTTGAAACTTTGTATATGGGACTGTTACAAATGGCCGTACCAAAGGCAAATATAACATATATATAAATATGTACATTTGAATTGAGTAGGTATACCCAATTTGTTACCCAATTATACCAATTAGTTACCCAATTACTCCAATTTTGTATACACAATTTGTTAACCTGCTCGGTAAGCCTAGTTTTTTTATTCTTATACGTCGGTTAACTGTGCACGTTTTACTTTAAAAGTGACTGAATTATCTTGTTCTTATGTTATGGTTAGGATTTTGTGCCATTAGTTAATATGCATGCACTAGTTGAAGAATTATCGCTAATTTAAAAGTTATTTAGATGGTACTAAGTTTTACAAGGCCATTTGTTGGCATTTAAAACTCTTAGTAGAATAGTGAATTAAGTCAATTTGTGCGCCAAATTCAGTGCCTTTTTGCGGACGGAGTGGGATGCTTTCAGTGTTATGCACTGAAAACTATATCTTCCTACCCCCTGGCCAAATTGTTTGTTTTTGCTTAGAAATTTTAATTTTAACTGCAAAAATTGTGTTTTAAACTGTTTTCGACTGTACTTGATGTTTTATGTTTCTCTGTATTTTACAATTTTTAATAACGATGTTTTGAGTTTTTATGTATTTTTGTCTTCACATGAAGTGAAAACTGAATTACTTAAGTGGCAAATATATCTCTAATGAAATTCGAGAAAATGAGTTTAAATTAAATGCAGCAAAATAGTGCGTATAATTTAATAGGCGGTACAAGGAAGTTATGTGCTGTTCACATCAAAATGTTTCTTCTAATTATACCAATATGAAAAATTTGAAAGATTCAAAAACTAGCACTCAGGTTGAAATTCATGGAAACTTAATAGTCGTCCCTTCTCTCCTAAGAACGTTTTTGCTCGAAATCACTTTTTAACAACGTTAGGTATAGTAATAAAAATAAGCACGATATTTTGCAAACATTCTTGGAGGGAAAAATGCGTCCTACGTATTATTCACTGAGTTTAAAGGTAGTTTGAAATCTTTCCAGGTTTTTAATCATTAACTTAAAAAAGGAAAAGTAATTAAATGCAATAAACAGACGAATATGTAAGTTTTTTCATCTATATAATAAAGAACATTTAGCTAAATACCAAATATCTGGTGCGTATAGCAAAACATTTTATCTTCAAAATAAGATAAATTTGATAATGAATTAAGAAAGATAAATTTAAAATAATTACTTTTAGTAAGGCATTTTCTTTTTTAGATTGAAAATGCCTCAATTTAACCATGGACATGTTCAAAGTATTTACTGAGGACATAATTTTTGTGTCCGATGGAACATCGTATTATAGAAAACACACATATATTTTACATTTTTATAAACATAACTAAACTAAGTATACAAAATGGGATTAAAATCTGAAGTTTTAAAAATTTTAATTTTTATGAAGGTATTGAAAACTAGCTGTATGTAAATGAATTATTTAGTACTTTAAAACCGCGTTTGTTCGCTAAACATAACTTTTAATGTTTTAATAAATTAAACTCTATTCATAAATTTTTAAATTTTATTTTTATATAAAATGTATAAAATGTCAAGAAGAGAAGCCAGTTATACTAGAACCATTTGACGGAAGCATTCAAAACCTCTTTCAGGTCTTTAGATTTATGTAAAATATTTCTGAATTTTGGTGTCATAATTCATTTTCCTCTGTGATAAAAACTGGATGGGAAATGTCAAAGGTAAAGAGCATACATGCACTTTAGAAAGTCACACAAAGTTGCTATTTTTATGCTTGGATGTGGCAACGATTTAATTTTTTAACTTTTAACTCATAAATTAAAAGTGCTTTTTAATACATATTTGTTCCTTATTTAAAATCTGTGAAATAAATTTTCAGGCAAATTAATAGCTGTTACGCGACTTTAACCAATAATGCAGACTTTAACCAATAACCATAAATGCAGAATCAGAAGCTCACGCTACAAAGCTACAGCGCTTACCAACACTCTCTACCTTTCCCTTCTAGAATTCAGTATTTAAGCCTTTTCTACTAAAAGAAGAATTTGCATTACTTCACGCGCGATACCAAATTTAAATACTCTGCCGTTGCTAATTGGGGGAATGAAGGCTAGAAAGAACAATTAAATTGGTTACTAAGATATAAATCCCTACAGTTTCACCATATTATGGTACTGAAAAATTTGCAACCAAAAGATGGTGAAACATTGAACCATTATTTGTTTTTTTGGCTGAAACATTATTTGGTAATAGGTTGAATCATTATTTGGTGCTTTGGCTGTGCCATTATTTGGTAATAGGTTGAACCATTATTTGGTGCTTTGTCTAAGCCATGAATTGGCAATATGTTGACCCAAGAATAGGGAATGTTGAACCATAAATTGGGAATACGTTAAATGGACTATATTACAATATGGATTGAGAAAAATCTTAAACCATTAAATATAATTATGTTTACCATTAATTGTAATTATTTTGAGCCATTAAACTGTAAACTGTAGGAAGTTATTTGAGAGCTCAGGCATAAAATTTTATATTACACATTTTCTGGTATTTTTATTCAATTAATGTATTGGCTCCTTGGCCAATATATATAAATGATAATATATATTTATTCAATATATATTATTTTATGAAATATAGAAAATATTTTTAAACATCTAGTCTGATCTAATAACCATACATTCAAACAGAATATTTTCCAACATGGCTAAATAATCCAATGCACTTTTATCAAACAATTCTTCTCATAAAAAGGGAAACTTAAATAACATTTCGAAATAGTTTTAATCAAACAATAAGATTTAATAAACAATAAGATTTAACAAAGCAATAAAATGTTTGCTATTTCAAAAAAAAATATTAATAACAAAAATACTTTTTTTTAAGTTACTCGATTACTTTTCATTTTGCTGTGATCCTCAGGGAAAGTTTTGATAATCAACATATTCTTTAAAATCATCAGCACATTTCTGCAGAGAAACAAAAACTTGAACATTAAACATGCTTAATAAAAGTAAGCTGGTGATAATCTGAAATTTCTCTTTCTTTCAATGACGACAGACACTGTGCCAAAATTTTTATCTAGAGAAAAATTAAACCATAAATTTCTTTTACCCAACAATATCTACATTTCTATATCCCTTCACTCTTCGAGATGAAGACACATCTTAAAATTTTGATTTTCTAATATCAATTACATTTCGAAAACTTTGAAAATAATAAATTAGGCTTAGGTGATCTTCAAAAGGAAATGCTTCGTTAGAGGAAACTTTGTATGCCTAATTTTGAGCAAC